ATGCATTGCCGTTGCACTGAAGAGACCGACGAAGGGACCAGTGGTCTCGGAGTGGTCCATTGGTCTGTTGGCAGCTGTTGTGAGTTGCATGCAGACTGCATGTTCTTCTTCATGAAGATATTTGCTGCTGTTTTCTCTTTCTTCTTTAATTCATTATTCCATCTTTTTGCTTCTGCTGCTGCAGCAGCAGCAGCAGCTGCAGCAGATGCTGCTGCTGCAGCAGGGAAAACTCTCCCTCAGCCAGAAAAAAAAAGATAGAGAAAGAGAAAAAACAAAAAGTATACAGACTGCTGCTATCGAGGCTCTCCAGCCGCTTTTACTCTTGTCAGTGTTTATATTATTCTTGTTTTTATTTTCGTTTTTATTTATATATTATTATTATTTTATTATTATTATTGTTGTTGTTGTTAGTATTAATATATAATAATAAATAAAAACTTTAATAGCCAAACATATTTAGTTTTTTTTTATTTTTACTTTATTCGCAGTTGTCGTTGTTAATAGTTTATTTTTTATTATTTTATTTTAATTTTTTATTATTTTATTTTAGTTTTTGGTGTAGTAGAAATATTGAACTAAATAGTAATAAATAATATTTATTATTGTATAGTTTCAGTTTCGTTGTATTATATTATTATATAAAAGTATTATATATTATTTTTTATTTTTATTTTCTTTTTATTATTATTACTTAAAGTTGGTGATATTATTTTTATTATCTACCCCTCAGTAGCTAGCAAACTTGTCTCCGGCCTAGGTAGACAATTGGCTAGCCAGCTAGCTAGCTGGCTAGCTAGCTAGCTAGCCATATATATATATATATATATATATATATAATAAATGTATCTTATTCGTAATAAGAACAACTTAAATAAAGCCAAAAATGAACGAGTTAAAAAATAAATTTTTGGTTGAGGGTTTAGGGCACGAGGGTTTAGGGTTTACATAACTAGGGTTTAGGGTTTAGGGTTTAGGGTTTAGGGTTTAGGGTTTAGGGTTTTTATTGCGGCGCAACTTCCACCGAAAT